TCGGAGGAGCCAAAGAGAGGCCAGAGAGTCCAAGGAGGACCCCGAGACAGGCCCTCCAGGCGGCCCAGGACAGCCCAGAGAGGGCCCCAAGGCGGCCCAAACCCAGGACAGCCCAAAGGGGCCCCAAGATGACCGGTGAGGATTGTTTCCGTAGACCCCCAACCGCGTCAGCCAGGACCCTTGGCGGCGGCAGCTGCGAAGACAGGCGCGCTCTGGCGCGCAAAGTCAGTGCCGCCATTGCTCACTGCGGTTTTCCGTCGCCGACGGAAGCAGGGCATGCGCGTTGGCGCCGTCTGCAGGATTCGTGCGTCCTCAGTCCGTTGCCCATTGGATGAGGGCTGGATTCAGCTCGGCGGCGCGTGGGTGCTCACAGTTCGCTGCGTTGGCGATTTTACAGCTTCTCGCGTCAACGCGGCGGTGTCTGTTGGAGAGACCGTCGGGGAGTCGAGCACGATCTTCTCGACAGTTTGTTGGCTCTTCTGCGGCGCGTGTGCCTTTTCCGTTGGAGTCGGAGCGAGTTTAAGGGGGGGAGATTTTGCCCAGGCCTCCAGCACTCTTCCTTTCGCCAGCGCGCACTTGCAGCTCGCAGCTGCGACCTGGGAGCCGGCAGCGCTCGGGGGCCAGGCGTTTCGGCTTCCAGCGTGCCCGTTTGGGGCATCGGCTCTTGAACATATCAGAGCCCCGAACCATCAGGGGTAACTCGGGTCAGGGCTATCTCGGGTTCGTTTTTCGGGAGTCCGAACCCGAGTTATCCCGGACCCGAGTTACCCCGGATAGTTCGGGCGTCCAGAGCCCCGAATCATCAGGGGTAGCCCGGGTCAGGGCTATATCGGGTCCGTTTTTCGGGAGTCCGAACCCGAGTTATCCCGGGCCCGAGTTACCCCGGATATTTCGAGCGTCCAGAGCCTCGAATCATCAGGGGTAACCCGGGTCAGGGCTAACTCGGGTCCGTTTTTCGGGAACCCAAACCCGAGTTACCCCGGACCCGAGCTATCCCGGATAATTCGGGCGTCCAAATATACTTGGGAGCGCTTTGGCAGTGCTGTACACGCATTTTGGCGCAACTGTTCTTCGTGGTGTTTTAACGCTTCGTTGACGACCTCTTCGGCGCTGATGCCGCGCATGCTGGCGCGCCTCCGATCGCATCGCCAAGGGGCGCTTCTGAAATCGCGCAGGAGGTCGACATCCCCGGGTAGGGGCTTAATGCTCCCAAGCGCGTGGCAGAAGCGAGCGCAGCCACAGTGCTTGGCGCCGACGTGGCAATTGCCCAGGATTTCAGAGATGCGCGTTCCCACTGGTCCGGCAAAGCGGTCGCAGTGTAGCGCGCAGATTGCGACAATTCTCGCCTCGGGGGGTCTCCGCCGCGCTGAAGCAGGAAGCTGGCCGGCAGGCTCAGCTGGGGAGCTCCAGCAGTATTCGGCAAGGCGGCCCGCGTGCATCTCGCACCTTTGTTTTGGCATGCCTCCCGCAGTTCGTCCCGCCTGTCTGGCCGCGCGGCCCCGTCGCTGAATGGTGGCTCCGACTCTGAGAATGCGTGCCGCGCCGCTTTTTCCGTTGCAGGCAGCCTGTCAGCCGCGCTCGTTGCGTTCTTTGTTCGGGCGCGACTGGCCGGGGGAATCTCGGTTGGGCCATGCCCAGTGCGCGCGCATGGGCAGCCTGCACCGTCCAGCCACGGGTACTCCAGTGGGTGCGGCACAGGAAAAATCAAGTCGCGACTTGGGAGCTGCTTGCGGCGATTTGCATTTCAGATTGGGTACTGAAGCGCCACGAAGGCGAACTCGAGGTTTGCTTGTTTGTCGATAACACGCTCTCGGCACGCTGCTCCGCGGGTCGCCCAGGTAGCTGGGGCGATCTCGCAGGGGACCTCTGGCTGCGCGTCGCCCGCGCTGGTCTTGTACTTCATTGCGTTTACGTGCCGAGCCATTCGAACATGGCCGATGCGCCGTTTCGGCCAGTCGAGAACCAGCGCGAGCTGGAAGATATGCGACGGGCCAGTTTTTTTTATCGAGTCTCCTGGGAGGCGACGCCAGACGCACCATGGCCGCAGCGATTGTCGAAGCAGCGGCGCCTGGGCGCGGGGGGAAAACAAAAACACCCAGGCATCGCGATCTGATTCGGGTGATGTCCGGTGGTGCAGGCGTTGCGTGTTCAGAGCGGCGGCAACCGCATACCCCTGCTCAAGTTGTCGATTTGGGCGGCCGGGTGCTCGGATTGGCGATTCGAACGCACGCGAGCTCCGAGTGCCAGTTTTGGCGTTCCCATTGCGGTCGTTGCGGTTTCCGCACTTCCGAGCTCGGATTGCCAAGTCAAGCATTAAGCATTTCTGCTTGGAGTGTCAATGCTGAGATTTCCGTGCTCGGATTGAAGGCCTGCGCGTTTCGGTGCCCCGATTGCCGATTCGGGCGCGCGTTGGTGGCCCGTGGAAGCGCTTCCGTGCTCGGATTGTTGATTCGAGCGTCGGCCGTCCCATCTCATGTCTGCTTTGTTCCGCAGTCATTTTGGCGCAGGCTGGCGCGTCAGATTTCATTGCGCGCAGTCGCAAGGCCCAGTCAGCACTGCCCCCTGCGGCCGCGGCGGCTGCTGAAGAGTCTCTGGGCGTCGAGGGCGCCCCCGGCAATTCCGCTGCGGTCCCAGATCTGTTCCGCCAGCTCGTTCGGCAAGTGGCGTCTACGAGTCCGCCGGGGCCAGCTGCTGACTCCCGACGCTGCGCGCGCGGAGCTGCTCCGCGCGGGCGCTGGTGACACTGCGGACTTCGAGGGTTCATCTGTGAGCGCGCAAGGAAACTGGCAGCCCCTGGCGGCCTAGGCAGTTCGCGGCGCGGTTTCCGCGGCAGGGCCGGCTTCGGGCGGCTCTGCTGGCAGAGGCTTCAAGGCTTCGCCCAGCAAGGTCGTCGCGGCAGCGCCGGCATCAGCTTTGCAACTGCAGCCCCCGCTTCAGAGCCACTCCCCGGCCCAGGCGGACGCGGGCAAGCAGCGCTCGCTTTCGCTGCCCAGGCGCGCCGCGCAGGGCGAGCTCCCCCCCCGAAAGTTCGCGCCGGGGCCCGGCTGGCACAATGCCTGTTTGGCGATGTCGGCCTGCCCCCCGAGCCGCGGCCAAGCGGGCGCGCGGTCAGGCGTCGGCGCAGACGTATAGCGAAGAGCGCGCAACTTGGCTTGAGTTCTGCCATTGGAGGAGGAGTGCTTCGTCACATGCAGCTGCAGTTCAGCTATGGGGCGAGGCTGCTGCTCTGGCGGGCGCGCCGCCGCGGCCGCCTCGATATTCAGCTGCGTGCGTTTTCAGCATTTTCTATCGTCAGGTTTCGCATATTGTTCAGCGCTCGCTGCGGGGTATATTGTTCGCATATTCGTTGTGCGCTGGCGCTGCAACGTGCTCGGCTTGGCGATTTAGCTGGCGCTGGCCGCCTGGCGCGAGGGGCGGAAAAGGCAGGCGCGCACCCGGCCCGCCCCAGAGCGTGGACTGCGGCCAAAACACGAGCTTTGGCCACATGGGCGAGAGCAGCAGGCCGCCAAGACCTCACATGGTCGCGGGTGGTTGCCAGACATTTTTGCTTGCGGTATTCGTCAGAGTGCCTGGCGCCCGGGGCGGACACGGCGCCGCCCCGCATCGAGAGCGCCGGCTCCAGAGTGACAGTCGCGACAATTTTCTCACGGAGGAAATGCAACGGCGCGCCAGTGGAGGTGGCACGGAGGTGCGGTTGCAGTTCCACGCGTTTCCATCTGCGTGGCGTCTTGCGCCCTCAGTGACGCGGCCGCGCTGAATGCAGTGCCTGTCGGCGGCCTCAGGTATCCAGAAGCATTCGGGTTTCTGAAAGCTGGAGCGGCCGCCCTCGGCTTCCCAGATGCAGCTGCATGGGGAAGTCGCGCATTCTGCTGGGGATTCGGCGATGGCGCCTTGCGCGCGGGAGGCCCTTCGGCGTTATTTTGGCATGGGCGCTGGAAGAGATCGGCCGCGTTCGGCTGCGCCACAGCGCGGTCGCCGGGCGCTGTGGCCGCCGCCGACTGGCTCGCGCAGAATTCTGATCCAAGTGGCGCGGTGAGGAGTGGCGCGCGCCTGTTTGCGCGCAGTGCTGTCTGGGCAGAGTGCAAAACAGGCCCGCGCGCGCTGGCGCGCCTGGTGCGCAGGCCTTTCCTGCATGCATTGGGCCCCAGGAGGTTCCAGTCAGGGCTTCCCGGCGGCGCCGTTCCCACTTGCCACGTGCTGGCGCGGGGGCGCCTGCCGTTGAAAAGGAGAAGGCACGCCCGCGAGGATTTTCATGGCCCGCAAACCGCGCATTCGTTTGCGGGGCAGGAAAATCTAAAGGGGGCAACACTAATCTCCATGCCTCTCTGACTCTGGGCTCCTTGAGTCGCGCTCTTGGCCTGGTTGCCTCCAGCAAGGGGCTGTGGCTCACGCGCCTGGGCGGCCTCACCTCCCGTCCGCCTCTGCTCTTCTTCTCCTCGGTTGTTGGCTGGTTGGTTGTTTGATTGGCTGGGGCTCTCGCTTGCTGGCGGCGCTGGCGCCGTCGCTGACGTGGTCCGCATGGTGCCTGCGTGGGCGCTTCGGAGTCCGTGCTGATTCTGGGGCGCGGTCCGCCCTCGTGAAGGTCGGGCGCCCCGTTTGCGTCGGTTTGCCGCCGATGGAGGAGGCCGCCCTGCCAGGGCTTGCGCGCAGGCGCGCTTTTCTCCCACCCTCATCCGCCCTGGTGCGCTGCAGTGTGCCGTTGCTGGCGCCCCAGTCTGGAGGGCCCTTGGAGGTTTCCACTCAGGGCTTCCTGGCGGCGCCGTTCCCGCTTGCCACATGCTGGCGCGGGGGCGCCGGCCGTTGAAAAGGAAAAGGCACGCCCGCAAGGATTTTCTCCACATTCAGTGCGCCTCGGCTTTGCGGCGCCCCTTCCCGAAAAAAACCCAAGACGCAGCGGAAATGGATATACGCGTTGCCCGCAATCTGGGGAAAAACATGTTTGCCATGTTTGCTGGGTTCTGCCGCCGATCGAGCAATGCGTTTAGGAGAGCTGCGCCGAGGCCTGGAAGCTTGCGTGCGAGGTCGCGCTGCCGCTCAAGATCGAGACGGCAGAGGACCGTTCGGGCTGCAGCGGGTATGCCGTTGGCCGCGCCGTGCGTTATCCAAACATGTTTGCGTCGTGAACAAAAATCACCTTTCTCGGCCTTCGTCGGGCCCCAGGAATTACAAAAACGACTCGGGACGAAAAACCGGTCCAGGAGAAAGGGTCGGGGTTTCCGGAGACCACGTATCGAACAACTCAGGACGTCGCATATCTAAGTTTGCCTCCCTGGTGGTGCCCGCGGTGCCCTCTCCTTCGGCAGCTTGCACCGGCCGTTCATTTCCCAGTATGAGACGACATAAACAAGACAGCTTGGCGGTCCGCACGGATTTCTTGGATCGGCGCTGGACCTCGCTGGCGGCGCCTCGGGCGCCGCCCCTGGCGCACTCCGCGCGCCAAGGAGGGAAGTCCAGCGCAGGAGGAGGGAGGAGGAGGCGGAGGAGAAAGAGGAGGAGGAGGAGGATGAGGCGGAGGAGGAGGAGGAGGAGGAGGAGGAGGAGGAGGAGAGGAGGAGGAGGAGGAGGAGGGGGGGCGAGGGGGTCCAGCGCCGATCCACCGACTCTGTGCGGACGTCCGAGTTGTAATGTTGATGCCGTCGCTCGGTTCTCTAAGCGCACACGCTTCGGTGCCTGCGGCCGCCTGCGCACTCGGGCGTGTCCTCCTACAAGCAGTCTGTGGACGAAAATTTAAACATAGTCAAACATCGCAGAAAATAGCAAAACATACTGCACACATCGTCCCCCGACTATTTGTTTATTATGTTGTAGGTTGAATACATTTTCCTGTAGAGGGACACGCCCGACTGAACTTTAGATTTCGTGCGGCTTCCCCCCCCTCCAGGGCTCGTTGTGATTCCTCTGATTCGATTCGATTCGTCGACTTCGATGCCTTCGAATCCGATTCGATTCGACTTCGGATTCCGATTTGGGCTCCGGTTCCTTACTGAAGGCAAACTAGCCTGCCGATTTCCGCCGATACGATTTCTCCGGACTCGGCTGTCGATCTCCGCCAATCCGACTCATTTCGATCGCCCATCCGACTCATCGATTCGATTCTGGGCTCTCTTGCCCCTCCCCTTGCGCACCCCCCTTCTGTGCGCCGCCAACAGAATCTGGACTTGACCCTGGGCGTGTTCTTGGAGTTTCTTCTCGCCCCCCCCTCCCGCGTTCCCCCTCGGGCCGCCCACTCCTCTTGCCCACTGGCCTCTGTCTCGTGCCTCTTCTCAGCAGGGCTCGCCAGCCCACGGCTCGCAGACCGCTCTCGGGGCTCGAGGAGATGGGGGTCCATGCAAGCAGGGGTCAGCCAGAGCGCCAGATCGTGCAGGATCCTGCAAAGCCAGGGTTGCATTGACCCGGGCTTGGGCGCAGGATCGTCTATTATCTTGCAGGAGTTTGCAGGAGCCTGCGAATCCTGACTGACCCGGGCTTGGATTGACCCGGGTCAGTAGATCCCCGACGCGTTGGCTTGCGCCCTCGCCGCGGAACAAAAGCAACTCTCAACACTCTCCCTGCCCCTGCCCCCTGGTGGCCCCCCCTGTCGGCCACGCGCAGAGGAGGGTATCGGTATGAGAAGTAGGAGGAGGAGAAGGAGGAGGAGGAGGAGGCGGAGGAGGAGGAAGAGGGGGAGGAGGGGGAGGAGGAGGAGGAGGAGGAGGAGGAGGAGGAGGAGGAGGAGGAGGAGGAGGAGGAGGGAGGGGAGGAGGAGGGGGAGGAGGAGAAAGGAGTGAGGAGAGATGAGAGAGGAGAGAAGAGAGAGGAGAGAGGAGGAGAGGAGAGAGGAGGGAGGAGGAGGAGGGAGAGACAAGAGAGAGGGAGGGAGGGAGGAGGAGGAGAGAGGAGAGAGAGAGAGGAGAGAGGAGAGAGGAGAGAGAGAGAGGAGGGAGGAGGGATGAGGAGGAGGGGGAGGAAAGGTGAGGATGATGATGATGATGATGATGATGATGATGATGATGATGATGATGATGATGATGATGATGATGAGGAGGAGGAGGAGGAGGAGGAGGAGGAGGAGGAGGAGGAGGAGGAGGAGGAGGGAGGAGGAGGGGGAGGATGAGGAACCCCCGCGCAGCGCGACAGGGAGGACGAGGGTGGGTGACGAGAGACAAGCGCGAGCTGCCACAGCCCTGCACACGCGGCGACGAGAGCACCAGCAGCTCGCAGAGTGGCGACGAGAGCACCAGGCACTTCCGCCAACCCCTGCCCTGCGACACACAGTGACCGGCGCTGAGGCGCTTGAACGGAAGCCGGCGCTGTGGCGAGAAGGGCGCAGCACCTGGCGCGGGTGCAGTCCGAGCACGCTGGCCAGCCCTGCGGGCCGAAAGGCGCCGGCAGGCCCGCCAACCAATCAACCAACCAACCGCCAGCAACAGAAGCAGAGGACAAAGCGGAAGGAGGCAGAAACGTGGCATCCCCACGCCAAATCGGCCGGCCAGTGGCCACCGACTGTGAGCAGGATCCGGCGCGCCGTCAAGGCATTGCATGGCAATGAAATTTACCGATGGAGGCCACCGAAATCCCGAGGGGAAGCGGCCACACAGGTGCCCGTTCCCAGGATGCTCTTGCCCCCCAAGTCGCTACGAGATTTTGGGGCGATGGAAATCCTCCAGGACCGCGCTTTGCGCAACCCTAGCGGTCGGCGCCCCCGCGCCACCGTTGGGCACGTGGGACAAGAGGTGCCGCCAGGCTGACCGAATCTGGAATTTCTCCAGTGGCCAATTGCATCCAAAGTGGGGCTGCCGCAGGGCGGCGGACCTGCCGACGAGGCGGACGTGGACTGATGCACTTCGGACGTCCTTTTTCCGTAAGCGCCCACTGCGCCCGAACGGATTTGGACAACATCGGCTCGCGGCTTGGCCGGCGCACTGCCCTTCGTCTCCACTGGGCTCTGAAAACTCGGTTGGCCACGCGGCCTCTGCACGTGCCCCGCGACTCTGCGCCGCGGCGTAACCAAACGCCGCCGCGCCACGCCAGCCCCCAGACCAGAGCAACGCAGAGGGGCCACCTGCACGCAAGGCATCGTTTGGGAAGCCTCTCCTAAAAAGGCGCGCGTGCCCCAATGCTGCGCGTCTGGTCGTTGTAGAGCCGAAGCTGCAGCTGTCAGAAATGCCGGGGGCTCTGGGTCGCGACGCGCGCGAAAGGGGCGCCGGCGGCCGCAGCTGCCTCGTGCAGCGCGCATTCTCCGCGCGACAGCCGCTTTCCACCTGCGCACAGGCACTTGCGCACGATATCCACTGGCGCTAGGATCCCCCCCCCCCCTGAAAGTAAGGATCGCGCCTGCATCGCCACCCTCGCCGTTGAACCGGAAGGGGTCGAGTTCGGATCCCAGCGCCAGCGTTGCAGGATATCTGAGGAACAAATGGCGCGAGACCACCCAGGACCTGGCCAAGTCCGCGCGCCCCGCGCGCGAGGCCCAGTCCGACAGCAATTTCGCCCAGGCTGCCGATGCCCAAACCTTCGGGCGCACATGCGACGTGAACGCCGCGTCTGCGCCCCGCGCAACCCTCACTGCGTCGGCAATCACTGCGAGAGGATGGCGCAGCAAAGCCGCCACATAACGATATAAGAAGTTTCGCCCCAAAGAGGCGCTGCCACGGAACGGGCTTGCCACTGCCGAAAGGGTCGAATAATCAGCAGGCCAGGGCGGCTCGCCTGCGAGCGCAGCAGCTGCGCCCCGCAGTTGAACTGCACTCCCGCTTCTCCTCCACCCGCAGTATTCGATCCGCGCTGCCCGCTTCTGAGATTCAACAGGCCATGCCTCTTCGGCCTGGTCCGTCCGCACTCTTTCAGAGTCGCTCGAGGCAGCGCGCCAGGGGCCCCAAGAGGATTGTCCGGCAATCGGCAAATGTCTCGGATGGATTGCGCCGGCGTGGCCTGGGGCAACGGCTCGCCGTGGCCGCCGCCCCCGGCGGGGCGGGGCCTGCCGCAGTGCCTGTGCCCGCGGGCGGGCCGGCTGGCGGCTGCCCGGATAGCCCCTGCGGCGACGCGCGCATCTTCGCCGTCGTGGGGGACTTGCGAGGAGTGCGGCGTGCCGACTTCCAGGGCATGGTCGCCCAGGTGGTCGGGTTCCCTTGACATGACTGGCCAGCGCGCGGACCGCGCACGCTGCTGTGGGTGCCGCGGTACATGTCTCAGAGGTCGGGGACTCCGACGGCCCACCACAAGCGGTGGCTGGCGGAGACGGAGCTCGACCCCGAGTCGCCGGGCGTGGATATCCACCAGATGGGCGGCATGGGGCTGGAGTCGGCAGTGACGTACGATCTGGAGCTCGACGGGTCGGCGTGCGTCTGCCCGGCCCTTCGCGACCACCTCGCGCAGGAGTTGCAGCGGGAGATGGCGGTGGCGAAGGAGAGGCGCAAGGCGCGAGAGGAGCGCGCCCTCGCCGGGGCCTTCCCCGGCCAGCCTGGCGCAGGGCGCGGGAGGGGGAGGCGCGGCGGTGGCCGCGGCGGCCGCGGCGGCGGGCCCAACGCCGCAGGGGGCGATGGCTGACTCGCCCCGGGGCGGAGGGCCTGGCCAGCCGCCGCCCCTGTCCCCCTCGGCCCCCGCGGAGCCCGCCAACAGCGCGGGCTTCCCCCTGGCGGCGCAGGGCGCCGGCTGCAGGACGACGACCGGCAGCGGGGCATCTTTCCGCTCCCGCCGCTGGCTGCTGCCGACGTGACGCCCCGCGTGTCCGGGGCTCGGCGGCGCGTTCGGGCCGGCCATGCCTTCGCGCACGCGCTGGACCGTGCCAGTGCCGCCGTGCATGCCTTTAATGACCTCTACGGCGACCAGTCCTCGCCCGCGCCAACGCCGTCTGCCGGGCGGCGCTGTGCCGCCGTCCACATTTGGGACTCGGTCGCTGCTCTGGGCCCTGAGCCACCTGAGTATCGTGACGACGTCTCCGACAACAACGGGGCCCTGAGGGCGGTGGGCCCACCACTCCCTACGTGCCAGACCTTGTCTCCTGGCCTGATGTCTCGCAGCCGCCCGCGCCGCTCCTTGGGCTGCTGGGCGAGCGTGACTCTGCCGCGCTGCGGGA